TGTAGATCAGTCAGCTGTCGTTACCTGCCGGTGACTGCTGCATGCATTACATCACTGCTGCTAAGACCAGAGCTGCATCAACACAACACAAAGCTGCCCAAAGCATCACCGAGCCTCCAATCCACCCCGGCCGACCCCACGCCGACGAGAAAGCTTGCAACACGTCAATTGGGTCCCGCCTCATAAAATAGCGCTTCTTCACAGCGCGGCGCATCTCTGGCGCAGTCTGCAGCCCTGCTAGCGCTCCCAACCCCCGGCCTCATCATCGGGATGCTGCACATTGTTCTACCATCTGTCGTTTTCTTACCCAAAATATGAGATTGAGGAAAACCAGGACGGTTTTGGACGACGTGATCCCGCACTGTCCCATTGTAACGCGAGCGCTTTGAAACAAGAACTGTTTAATTGTTATTATTTGTGGGCGACAATTTTCGGTGCACCTGCACCTTTGCTGTTAAAATAATAAAATGGCTTCGGTCTGCCTCACCGCTCAGATTCCTCCGGGCTCGACCAATGAGGTCACAGCAAACGGAGGCTGGAGGTCACGTGCTCACGCTGACGTCACCGTTCAAAACAAACAGCCGGAAGGCTTTCCGAGCTGAAATGTGAGCAGGTTGGTCACAAGGAACATTTTTTAGGTTATTATTTCAGTGAACTCATGAAAAAGAAACTAATGTTCACTTTCACAGAAGATTAGGATATTACATAAATCAATAAAACGTGTTTTTATTGAAGAAAATATTGGCTATGATCATTTTATGGCTAGAATACTCACTGTCCAGCATGAACATCACAAGGAATCTGATGCAGAACAGTCTGCTGTATTCAAGCAGGAATAAATGCAAAAGCTCTGCAAACATTTCAAAAACTAAAAAAAAAGTAGGCTCACATTACTTTCATCTCTTGGAAAATGTGCAAAAGGCCTTAAAATTTATTAATATTTCATTTTATTACAGCTTTACACCCAAAAAAACTAAAGAAGAATAAAACATTTTAGATTATCATATTATTATTATTTTTTTTTACAGAAAATCACGTGCAACTCCGTTACTGTAAACCATACCAGTTCAAAAACATATTTTCATCTGACACATTTTTTATGCTGTATTTATCTATGTATATCAGAGTGTCTGAGAACATTTAACAAGCAAACTAAAAGTTTTTGTTTTGATATTTGTTTAAATATTTGTTTCAAAGCTGCAAAATCTTGCTTCAGTTTCAGTCAAATTATTCAAATTGCTGTATAAATATCTGGGATGATCAAAATGTCAAAGCAGAGTCCTGAATAGATCTCTACCATATAGCACCCTAGACATGCACTCACAATAGTTGCTTAGTCTTACACTGAACACTGAAACCTTTGCAACCTTTGCATTTCAGTGCATTTTCCAGAAAGTAAAATATTTTATTTAAAGTAACAGTTTTCAGTGAAATCAGACCTGAATACTGTCTTAGCTTGTAACAGATTGTATTACATATTTTAGCCATGTCTTACTCTTTCACTCATCGTCCGTCTAACACAGAGCCGATCATCTTTGCATGATTTCCTAGAAGGTCATGTCTTATGATTTCACTGTTCAGATCAAACATGAGTTTTCCATGGAATATACTAATTTAGTATAATAAATAATACTTTCCTCTTCTATTTTTCAAATCATGTTGCTATAAAGCCTTAAAAGTCAACAAAGAAAGTTAGCCCCAGTTCAGTTCAGTTCAGTTTTTTTTTTTTTTATGCCAGAGGGGGGCAGTATATCACCATTAGTTTTATTGCAGGTTTGAAACTGAAAGATGAAGATTTGGACTGTTGGGAAAACAAGCCTGTCAGGGATTCTTATTTAAATAGCATAAATCTTTTAAATATGAATAAAATCATGGCACATCCATGTCGTTCACTACTTCTGATTCTTGTGGCACAAGTCAGTGATGAGTTGAGCTGGTGCCCAAAGCCTTGGTTTTATTGAGCCAACGTTTGTCACATTTGTCTCTGTCAGCTGTTGGTGTTCAAACTGAACAAGAGTGAAACTAACAAACCCCAGGAGCTGAGCCTATCTGCTGAAAGAGCCGACATTCTCCTTGCATGACATTTACCTATAGGCTGTTGTGTGATTCATTATTAAAACAACAAAGGCAAAAGCAGAGAAGCTTAGATAAAAGGAAATAAAACAGGATCCCAGGAATCCCACAAGCAAAGACAAACAAGTATGACTTCTTTGCAATTAAATTTAAAAGTCAGCATCACTGAAGCACCCACAGAAGATAAAATTTATAGTTTTGTGTATTAATATATGAAAATGTATGCTTAATTCACTCAATCAGAACAATATAAAGGCAGACTTATAAGAAACTAGCTCACTATTTAAAAACAAGGCTAATACACATGTTCTCACAAGCAGGTGAAATAAAAATCTGTTTGATGAGACAAAAACAAAACTGTTGATGAAACTCGCACAAACACAATTTACACTTTATGATTTATTAAAACGTGAAGGAGAGGAGCTTATTTATCACACTATCAAGCAGCAACATGCCTGTCAGTGTACATGGGGGTTGGAGATTCTGCATGACACCGGACATGAAATTTTAAGATCCATCGAAATGAACTGGCATACTAAGAGTGACGACAAGACATATGAACTTTCCTTTCTTTACATTAAAGTAGAAACCAAAAACGTCAACGCATTTTCTTGATTTTTTTCTTCTTAGATAGCCAAGCTTGGATCTTAAAGTTTACTGTTTACCGATACTCTCAATTGAGTCTCACTGAGTTTGAGCTATTCTGCAAAGAAAAAGGGGAAACAAAACAACAACCTGTAAATGTGCTCAGCAGACAGAAAAAAAACAAGGCTTATAGTTGTAACCGCACCACACGAGAAAATGTCTCCTTTCATCAGAACAGTGTGTTGGATTTCTGCTTATAAATAGGACTTTTGAAATATTGAATTTCTGTTTCAGTCATAAGCAAACTGGTCAAATGGAAACTCCATTCATGGAGTGCTTTTATAATCACTATTGATGCGTAGAATGGGGAAAATCTGGGTTTCAGTGTCATAGCCAAGCACCCTCTGACATGTGGAGGAAGAAAGGTGAAATCAAACTGACAACCTTCCTGAAAGGCAGGTGGCCACTCTTCCTCCTTATTTGTCAACTCTCTCTGATCAACAGCTGCCAAAACTGATTTCTGATAAAAAAACAACAACAACCTGTGACCTGACCTCACCTTAACTGTGTCAAAGACACAAACTCTTCTTTTACCTGATTTATATTTACTTCATATGTTTCACATAAGCTCCTCCCCTCTTAGGTAGCAGAATGTCTTGATGGACAGATCATCAGTTCAAAGATGAATGTCTCTGGGTAAGAACAATTTTTGGTATTTATTTATGAAGAAAAGATGACAGAAACAAGGACTAACATATATTTCACAGTGCTGTAGTTGTGAAATGATCATTCGTAGTCAATCGTCAGGAATTAAGACAGTTTCTCTCTCAGTCCCAAAGGACTGAGAAAGCACGTGTTCAGATTGTGTGAACACAGCAGCTCAACAAATAACAATTTGCAACATGTTTGGATCTGCAACTTTCAGCCGTGAGACACATAATTTCACATTTATAACACCCCCTCCATCCACACACCTCTAACACACCGATTGCCAAAGCATAATTATTCTATCAACACACTTAATTGCATTTTGCAACAAGCCTAACTGCCTGCCATTTTAGATTAATGAGAAAATATCACCTTGAATTTTAGATTGAGGGTGAACATTTTCTACTGACAGAGAAAAAATTCGGTTTGGTAACAGAAAATCTTGAAGACCAGAGGTACAGAAAAGATACCTTTTGTTAAAACATTTTTCTTACCCATTGTGTGTCCTCTCATTAAATAAATCGAATTCCATTTTCTACAGCCCACTAACCTACTTCCTCCTAGTTTTGCACCTGTGGATGAATTCTCAAAGTGTTGATTTGGGAAGCAATATTTGTGTAACATAGAGGTAGTCACCAAGACTTTAGTCGTAAGACACTGAATTTATCAGCTGTTTGTGTTGCAAATTTGAAAATGTATACTTTTGCCAGAAAATATGGCACTGGAAAAATGTAATTTAGATGAACACTGACCCATTTGTCAAATTTAATGACATAAATATCATCAGCACCATGAATACATCCTTTGGAAGTGGCTCGGACACTTTAGTAGACATTTGACATAAACTACGGTTTTGCAGATGCTCAACAAAGTGGTCTGAGACTGTTTAGAACACAACAGAGTTTCCTGATTGGCTTTGCACCTAAAAACAGCTGAATGTGTCCTCAACTCAGACCTCTGAAAGTTTCAGATAAAGCACAAATTCTACACTTTGAACGTACAAAAAGAAAGACAGACAGGACATTGTGGGAAGGACACTGAAATAGCCCAGCTGTTTTTAATCCGACAGACTGTCGCCCAAGGCAAAGAAGTTGCATGAACCATCTCCCTTTGCTTCTATTGATTGAGAGAAAAGATCATCCCTGTATGCAGAGGAAAGAAAAAAGCCATCGATTTCATGTTGGAATGCTTATGGAGCTATAAGCAATGTGATTTATGTAAGCTGCCTACATAAGTATTTATATAAGAATGACATATCATAAAATAATGAAACAAATAGATGTTAGTAATGGGACTATGAATAAGAGAGAAGGTCACATTAAACCCCATGTGGAGGAAAATCTGACAGAGCAGATTCTATAATGTTTGAACCAACATCCTTTAATTACTTAATTAATTTTGTTCATTTCGAACCCTGTTGTTAAACTGTATTCCCCTCTTAACTAAAAGTAGAGCATGAGTCAAACTCTTTGAACTAAAGGGGATTTAAGGACTTTTTTTTTTTTTTTTTTGACGTTGCACAGAGGAAGAATACATGAGTGATGTGGAAAAGAAAAAAAAGGTTTGTCTGAAGGGTTCAAATATTAGTCTTTCATAAAATACCTGCTACACATCATTTTCATTTTATGATTTTTATTATTTAATACAAATAGCCTAAATAAATACAACATTAAGAAATATTAACAGAAAAAAGATGTTGCAATATAACCATATTGTTGAAATGTTGCAAATGATTTTAATCATAATCAGCAGAAAAATGATAGGTTGTTTCTGGCTGTTATTTCTTTTTTGAATCCCTTGAGGTCCTCGGTCCGTGCGCGCCTCTCTTCAGACCTCCGCTTCAGTTTACTAAGATTTTCGCCAGCAGCTCCGCTTCCTGAAACCAACAGTGGAAAGCATCACATTAGATTGAAGATGGAGAAAACTGAAATATATGTGCATTTAAACATAAAAAAGTCCTCTGTCCTCACCTGCTCTTTCAAACGGCTCTCTTCTGTGTCCATCTGCGCCTTCAACGCCACCCGCAGAAACTCTTGGAAAAGCGAGGTCTGCTCAGCGGGGAGGCTGGCGTCCAGCGCGTTCACACCCTGCTGGTCCTCCAGTGAGCGTAGCAAAGGGGTTTCCATCACACTTTTCTTTCCCATGAAATGCCCTGCAAAACCAAAGCAACAACCACAAACTAATTTAAGCTGCTTAGTAGAATTTTGAGTGAAACGTGGAGAGGAAAAAACTCCTTTACAAAAAGGTTTAAAACTCAGATATTATTACGCATAGGATTTTACTGGAAGGTCAACTTCTAAAAGAAATAGTTTCTTACCTGTTGCCCAAAGATTGCCTTTTGGAGTCACTTTGAATTTGGGAACTTTACTCCCCCTTTCAGTCAGAGAGATACTGTCTCCTGCGCTCAAATACATAAAAACGAGATATGTGAAGAAGCCACAGTGGCAAACATTAGTCAGCGTGAGTCCTCTCATTTTAACCCGAACTCCGGATCTGTCCTCCTGAGCGCAATTTTCTCTTTGTTAGTGTTGGATCGCTGCAGACTCATCCTGCTTTTATAGGGTCTCCTGGACGGGGTGGGCTCTCCTTATGGGCTGCGTTTACTTTTCATTCACTCGGCTGCGTAAATGAAGATGACATCATCCCACTCAGTGTGACGCTTGTGCGCAATTTAAGCATCCAACGAAGTTGCAACGTGAAGCATTTCATGAAACAAAAGAAAAAAAACGAAGCATCAAAATATTTTAGGTCGATGAACTTGTAGCTCTCTCACTTCCACGCGCATTTGGATAAATCTGAATATCACGAACATTTTAAAAAGTTTATTCATCTCAGTTATTGACTTCAAACAAACTTATATTCACTACCCAGGATCGGATATTATATTCAAATCTTTCATTTTCATCATTATGGCACATCGAAATGCTTCATCGAAATGCTTCAGCAAATGAAACCCATTTCGCGTCATCCCGTTCCTATCCAGGGGCCCAGTTTGGCCCTTTTTTTGCTAAAAGCCCCGTGACATTTGGCCAGTCGAGGTTTTGCTACTGCGCTCATCATCAGTCCTCCGAGGACAGGAGAACCCGCTGATTCTCACCGCTAATTTAGAGCTGATAAGACAGATGGCCTCTTCGTCACTTCAGGGTGCTAAAGTCGGAGGTATTGTGGAGGAGAAGCAGCTTCCGTCTTGCTCTTTTAATAACCTTTGACATTAACACGCATATTGAGATTTGGCAAATTCTGCAGAGCTGAATGTCAGTCTAATTAGAAGACTGTCTGAACATCACAGCATCACACCGTCCAAGCTCAGAAGTTAAATGAATCAAGGCGCAATACTTGCCTTAAGGTGGTAGCTGACCAAGTTCAAATCTATTGGGCTCCATTGGTGCCAAAAATAACTCTTCATCTCCTCCCCTCCATACAAAACCATTGATTCATAGCTACTAAAAAAGCCGAGGTTTACAAATAAGACAGCAAAGGAGTCTGAATTAACACTGAATTTGGAAAGTCAACTTTTTGTTTCAAAGATGAATAATTTATCACTTATTAGGGTAATTTCTAAACATGATCAGAAACAGAGCACTGCAAAACTGCCCCTAAATGTGTTTTTAAATTATTGTTTCAACCAAAAATTTCAATTAGGTATATGTGGTAGATCAACACAAAGGACAAAATGTTAATGTGGACTTGTGAAGATTGTTCTACTCTTAAAGTTTAAAGTAAAGAGTCTTGCATCCTCTAACAGATATTCCAGGATTGCCCTTTATTCAAAACCATCAATTTTACTATTATCCCTGGTGAACTTTCCTGTCCCAACTGCAGAAATGCATCCCCACAGCATTATCATGGCACCATGTGGTTCATGGTAGGGATGGTGCTTGTTAAAATTGATTTTGAAATTCTCATATTGGTCTATCAAGCTCTTCATGATTTTGGGCCCAAAGATTTGTCTGGTGATTACAAACCATTCAGACCTCTCAGGTTTTCCAGGACCAAAACTATACAAGTTCTGGCAGCATGTAATGTTTTTACTCCTAAATTCTGGAACAAAATATTCTCTAAACTCTCTGATGTGCAGAAACTATATACCTTCTTTTACATTAGGACTGTAATAAATTGATTCACAGCAACTTTTGATCAAGGAATCTGATGAAGTTTGAAATATGAAAATCTTCTTTTTACCTTTGCTATCTGTACTTTTAACATCCATTTCTTTTGTTTAAAGCTTTGATGGTTGCTTTTTAAAAATTTTTTCCATACACAGGCCACTGTACTTCAGCTCGTCTCTAAGGATTGTGGTAGGATGGTGTTGATGGCAAGGTAAAAAAATAAAATAAAATTCTCACTGTGCTCCCAACAGTCTCTAGTTCAGAGAGGGAATGATGTTGGATGACAGCTAAGGACTGTATAAATGGACATTCACCGTCCATAAACCTTGACAAATTTACCAAGTAAGCCATTGTATTGTTTTGCTGCCAGAATCTGACAAGTTACCTTTTATGCAATTTATTCAGCTGTTTTACAATATTTAGTCATTTATGATGAATGTTATTAATGTGAAATCCTACAGATTTTACTATTTATGAGTGACACAATTTTGGAAACTATAACCATATGTAATCAATTATAAATTTACCAAAGAGCTTTAGATTGTTTATTTTAATTCAAGTCTCTCAACAACGACAAACACAAATTTAATTTCCAATATAGGGTTGTAAAAAGGTTGCCTTGACATATTTTCTTACAATTCTACAAACTGATGTGAATTCTTTTTTTTCCACAATAATGAACTCTTTACATTAATAGAAAATTATCCATTTGTGAAAGGCCAAACAAAATGAGACAGGTTGTGTAATCCAAAGTGAATGCTAAACAGATTTTATATTCAATTTAATATATTTCAACACTTCCATATTTCCAGAAGTAACAGATAAGGAGGCAATTAACAAAATCTAATTTAAATTTAACTTAAAGAATGCAATTTAACATTCTGAAGACCAGAAATTAAACTGACTTGAAAGTTAATCCTAGTGAATTCCTTCACAAAAATACTTTTACAGCTTGGACTTTTGAAAATGTAAACACTCTATCCACACTTCTACAAAATGTTGGAACAAATTGTACAAAAAAAGAAAAAAATATCAAGTTGGGTTTGACAAAGAAAAGCAAATATATTTTGAAAGGCATGACTGAGGTTTTCTGGACGCAGTTTATTCATCATCTGTGCTGCAGCTTCAGCGCCTCACTCCCGGTGGACCAAGACAAAAAGACCCAGCATGAAGAGAACGGCATACTGTAGGAAACAAACACAGCAAATTCTCAGACACCATGCGTTGTATAATTAAGATTAAAATTAAAGAAAGCAATTAGCTGCAACTTATTTACAATGAACTTACTTTGAACTTAGGGTAATCGTTCATGAGGATGGTGACAATTCCAATATATGGCACAAACCTGGAAATGATAAAAACGCTATTAAGCAAACTTACTAATGACTTAAACATGGACTGAATTTGTATTACACTCTTCTAGTCATACCATTCACTCATTGGGCTTTTACTCTACACCAACATTCACCGAATGGAAAACATATTCATAAACCAATATGCAGATCAGAAGGAAACTTTGGGTTGAGTGCCTTGCCCAGGATCACATCCACATGTAGAAGAAGCTGAAATTAAACCCACAACTTTCTAACGACAAGCTCACCAGTCAACCGACTGATCCAGTCACCCCAGTGTGTAAACATCTTAGTTTATTTACTGCACTAAGGATTATCTAAAACTGGATGACATAAAGCTTTAAATTCTAGATTGATCTTTTTAAGATTTTCATTCTAGCATAAAACAACTTTTTCTCATGTTATATGCTTAATAAGATGGCTTGGATATAACTTATTAAAAATAAAGAAAGCAATAATGATCATGATATCAGGGCCAATTGGGATAATGCTATGCCATCTGTGTTTCCATGTGAAAATATATACTTGGAACAAAAAGTAAGAACATTTTTGTTTGGTGAAATATTCTTTTGTTGCAGCAATGCTTCTTGACTATAAACCTTACACCATTGGAAAGCCTATTTACTTTCCCTTGAGTTGTGCAACATATGTAAGAAGAATGTATTGGTGGGTTGAACAGCATGGGTCTGCGCGTGTATTGTGCCCACAAAAACATTTACCAAGCCCTATGTGTCAATCGCAAACAGTTATTCTTGGAGGCAGTGTGACGAATAAGGGCAATATGTCCCTCACTGGAAGAAAAAAAAAACAAGTTGTCATAATTGCTGAATTGCTCAATGGACAGAAATATCGAGATAAGATTCTAGAAGTTGTGGCAATCCCAAAGTCCATCCTCCAAAATGTCAGTGCTCGCCCCACAAAGCATGTTTATCAGAAACTAGTTCCACCATTTGGGGGTAAGGAGGACAGAACGGCTTGCCTGCAGTTCTGACCTCGGCCCCATTGATCGCTTGTAGGATCATTTTATGCAATCTGTTTGCACTAGTATGACCAACACAATCACATTGGCTGACTTGAGACAAATGCTGGTTAAGAAATGGGATATCCTCTGATTTGTATAATGCCTAGTGCTGTTTTGCATTTATATTCATGATGTTGTACAGTAACAATTAACATGTAGATCCACCTCAAGAAATTCTAGCTAATCAGGGATGAAATTCAGGTAAAAATAAATAAATAAATTATGTAGTGTCACCCTAGCTTAACCCATCTATTTTATAGTGTAGAACATTATGACCATAAGTCTAACTGTTGTGTTTGTATACCTTAAATAAAATCATAATTATAAGAGGTCAGACAGCCCTTCCTTTGACTATGTAGAAAATGAACTAGGTAATAAAGGAGATCTCCTTCATAGTTACAAAAATTTTATTGACCAAATGTAGAAAATGTCAACTAAAAATAAATGGCATATTTTATCAGAATAAAACCTACTGTTCTTTTTTTTTTTGTTGATGCTGCCATCCATAAAAATTGTTTCTTTGTATTGTTGGTAATATGTCAAAACACAACAAGTCACAATGTAAGAAGAACCTATTGCAACAAACATTGTGATCGAAATATTTAACAATATTATTATTGAAGCGAGACTTTCTCATTTGGTTCATCTCCACTTTGAACACACATTAAACAGGAATGAACCGTGACATGGAGCTGCATTACTAGCAAAATACTGTGTTGCATTGTTAACCTTACTTGTAAATGGCCGCGTTATCCTGTACATTTATTTACAATTGCTACATTCAATCTTATGATAAAGAATGAAGGACAATCATTTTCACCACATGGCTATTGCAGGCTTCTTAACTCTGCTGCAGAGGTCAGTTTAGGAGCACACCACCTCTTAACTGAGAGACCCAATTCTGTTTGTTTATTAACATATTTAAAAGAAAAAGTCTGAAAACAAAATCACCACATTTGCTTTTGCCCAGCACCCACTAAACATGACACAATATTACCAATCTGTGTGTCCAGGTGGTTGGCTGCTCAGT